TTCACGCATCAGCGCATGAAAGCTGAATTCGAAACCCTGAAGGATGAATATCTTTCCGTAGTTCCCGAGATATTAACCTACCCGTAAAAAACTTTCACGAGGCCGTATGAGTTACCCGCGGGTACGGGAAGGCTGAATTTAAACTTGCCGCGTCACCCATTGGCGGGGAACACCATACCAAAATTTCAGCCGCTTAGCTTTTGTGGTTCGCAGATTGAAAGTGTAGGACAAAATGTGGGACACAAACGCACACACGCACAGACAACCCCGTGACAGTATGCTTTTTGTAACGCTGTTACACAACACAAAACACAAAAGAATCACTTGAAGCATACCAACACCGCAACTGAGCAGAGATTTGAGTGCTGTATGCAGTAACTGATGCACCAATGCATTCATACTAAAACAACTGCGTCCAGCCAGCAACATGTAGAAAGTGGCAATATTGTAGTGGCATGTTGAATCTTCTACCTGCAACGTGCTAGTCAGATAAATAAAAAGTAAAAAAATCAAGTTATTTTAAAAAATGCAAAAAAAAAATATCAGTAAAAAATTTTCTGGTGTATGCAGTTCATTCAAAAGAAAGCATTTATGCACAAAAACAGTTTGACAAATCCCGTTTTTTACTTTTCTCTTTAAAAAAAAAAAAATTAACCTATTACTTTCAGTTAAAAAAAAAAAGAATATTTAAGTTAGCCTTTAAGAAGCAAAAGTTAGTCCCAAAGTTGAGTACGTACCACAAGAACATCAAGAAATTTTCACCAAAACATTACCAGAAAAATTCAGAAAGTTTCTTTTTCAAACATTACTATCTGCTAACGGAACAGAACTAATAACCTAAGCGATAGCACTTTCGTGATAAGACAGTCGATGGCTTATCTTTAAATGAGGCTGCTTCAAAAGAAGCCGATGGCTCTAAGCAGTCTGGCATGTGCAAATAACAATTTACCATGGAAAAAAACATTATTCGCATATAACATATAAATATATCTGTTTTTATGCGTTTTGTGCTGTGTAACAGCAGTACAAAAAGCATATTGTCACGGGGTTTCTGTGTGAGCGTGTTTGTATGTGTCCGCAGCAACTTGTCGAAACCACAGAAGCTAGGAAGCTGAAAATTTAGGGTAACGTTCCCCACCCACGTGTGACCTAGCAAATTTAAATTCGGCTTTTTCGTACCCGCGGGTATCATGTATGGTCCCGTGAAAGTTTTTTAAGGGTAAATTATTATCTCGGGAACCACGGGGTCCAGGAAGCTGAAATTT